AAGATAGCTATAGGTAGGTCATTAATTAGACAAGCAAATAGATAACAGACAGATAGATGACAGATAGGTGACAGATAGATGATAGATAGATGATAGATGATAGATAGATAGATAGATAGAATAGATTGCCAAATGTCCTTTAAGAAGTAAAATACCCTGGAGCCGGGCGTGGTGGCATACACCTTTGATCCCAGCTCTTGGGAGGCAGAGGCAGGAGGATCTCTGTGAGTTCAAAGCCAGTTTAGTCTACCTAGGGAGTTCCAGGACACCTAGGGCTACAAGGAGACACTGTCTCAAAAAAAAAAAAAAGAAAAAGAAAAAAGCAGTAAAATACCGTGATAGAGAATCACTGACCTAAGACATCCCACAGAAAATCTCCTTCTTTATACTTCCATGTCTTCTGTGGCTACAGTGTCACCTTTCTTGTTGCTCTGACAAAAGCCCTTAAGAAAAGAAGGGTTTGTTTTGGCTCACAGCTTGAGAACACAGTCTATCACAGCAGGGGAGGAGCAGGGAGTCTGAGGCACTGGGGAACCAGAGAGCTATGCATGCTGGTGCTCAGTTTTCTTCTTTTTGTTCGGCCTGGAACCCTAGCCCATGGGATGATGTTGCGCACATTCAGGGTGGATCCTCCCTCAGCTGTTTTGTGACGCCTGGCGGGGAAGGCCTGTTCTAGACCCAGTCCTCCCACACATTGCCATCCAAATGCTCTGGTAGAAACCTTGGTGCAGGAACCAGGCGTGGTGGCACACGCCTTTAATCTCAGGAGGCAGAGGCAGGTGGATCTCTGGGAGTTCAAGGCCAACCTGGTCTACCTAGTGAGTTCCAGGACAGCTGGGGCTACAGGGAGACCCATCTCAAAAAGACAACAAAAGAAAGAAACCTCAGTGCTGGGTCTGCATTCTTTGGACCACCTGAACCATGTACCCCTCACCAGAATCCTCACTTTTCCCAGGATCAAGCATGAGAACATCGTGACCTTGGAGGACATCTATGAGAGTACTACCCACTACTACCTGGTCATGCAGCTGTAAGTGAGGGTGCCCCACCCCAACGAGGCCCAGGAGAGTGCCAGGGGGACTGAGAGGGGAGGGAGGATAGTGACCAGATGAGGTCAAGAATTAGCCCCAGAGGCTTTGAAATGTGGTCCTTTTGGGTCAGTGTGCTTCTGGTGCTGGGCTGAGGGGTCACATTGGACCGACTGTTGAGCTGGTGTGTACCAGCACAGGCTTGTCAGTTCTTAGAATATTTCCTACAAGTGAACAATAGCTATCCATGCTCTTTGCAGCCTGTGGGGCTTCTGGGGCCTCCACTGAAGGGGCAATGTCAGCGTGAGCTACCAGAACCCTTCTCTGGCACATTTTGGTCGGTCCCTGTCTGTGGACTAGACAGTAAACACATTAACATTGTTCCAGGACAAACTGACTGTAAGTGTAAAGACCTCAAGTAGATGGATTTCAATTCAATACAAAGAAAACATGTCTTAAGAAAAACCCATTTGAACTAAACGTAGCCTGTGCTGTGTGTCCTCTGGTCGAACAGGAATTGTTCTTCAGCACAAAGGTCTACAGGTCATCGTCACAACCAGATAAGTGATCCACCCAGAGTGTGGTCCCGAGTGTGGGGCGGGTAGCTGCTGGAAGAAACTACCAGGTGCTGGACTTCAGTGTAATATCTAGAAATGTGAGGAGCCCCAAGAAAGCACAGCCTTTCACTGTAGAGAGTTCTTCAGCACACACATGTTCCTGGACTGATTAAAAACTTCTAGAAAACATAGTATAGATGGTACCCAGGATCATGATGGGTCCGCATTGGCCCTGAAGCTCCTGAGTCCTCACTTTCCACTTGAGTCTCAAAATGCTCCTGTGTCCCTACCTGGGACTCCTGTGTCCCTACCTGGGACTCCTGTGTCCCTGTGTGGGACTCCTGTGTCCCTGTGTGGGACTCCTGTGTCCCTACCTGGGATCCCTGTGTCCCTACGTGGGATCCCTGTGTCCCTACGTGGGACTCCTGTGTCCCTACCTGGGACTCCTGTGTCCCTACCTGGGATCCCTGTGTCCCTACGTGGGACCCCTGTGTCCCTACGTGGGATCCCTGTGTCCCTACGTGGGACTCCTGTGTCCCTACGTGGGATCCCTGTGTCCCTACGTGGGATCCCTGTGTCCCTACGTGGGATCCCTGTGTCCCTACGTGGGATCCCTGTGTCCCTACGTGGGATCCCTGTGTCCCTACGTGGGATCCCTGTGTCCCTACGTGGGATCCCTGTGTCCCTACGTGGGATCCCTGTGTCCCTACGTGGGATCCCTGTGTCCCTACCTGGGACTCCTGTGTCCCTACGTGGGACCCCTGTGTCCCTACGTGGGATTCTGCAGTAGGGCATCCAAATTTCCAAAATGAGTAAAGAAGTCTTTTTTTAAAAAAATACTTTATTATTTTTATGTGTATGAGTGTACTGCCTGCATGTATATAAGTGCACCCATGTCATTTCTGCAGTAGGGCGTCCAAATTTCCAAAATGAGTAAAGAAGTCTTTTTTTAAAAAAATACTTTATTATTTTTATTTTATGTGTATGAGTGTACTGCCTGCCTGTATGTGAGTGCACCCGTGTCGTGCAATGCCACGGAGGTCAGAAGAGGGCTTTGTATAAATGCATTTTACGTATATATGCACAATTAGTCTCATTTTCAAGCTTTCTCTTTCCTACTTTGCCCAGTGCCACATCACTTCTCTCTGCCATGCTGACTTCCTGTATCCTGGCCAGGAAGGAAGGCATTCATAGGAAGGAATTCTTGACTTTTTCAGACAACCCCAACCAGGAGCCCTGAGTGATCCACCCCATCCTCACTTCAGGGACCAGCCCTCACAGCTCAACTGTAGAGCTGCATTTTGCACGTCTTAGACCTGACATAAAACTAAATTCCTGGGGCTGGAGAAATGGCTCAGCAGTTAAGAACACTGAATGTTCTTGCAGAAGACCTGGGTTCAAATCTCAGCACCCACATGGCAGCTAACAACTGTCTCTGACTCTGGTTCCAGGGGATCTGACAGCCTCTCCTGTCTTCCGTGGACACTGCCCGACACGGGTGCACTTACCTACATGAAAGCAATACACGCGTACACATAAAAATACTAAATAAAATATTTTTTAAAAAGTAGATTCCTGATCCATTCCTGTATCTACAGTGTTTCTGGTGGGGAGCTCTTTGACCGGATCCTAGAGCGTGGTGTCTACACAGAGAAGGATGCCAGTGTGGTGATCCAGCAGGTCTTGTCTGCAGTGAAATACCTCCATGAGAACGGCATCGTCCACAGAGACCTAAAGGTGACGGGCGGTAGCAGGAGGCAGTGGTGACCTTCAGGGAGTTGTGTGGGGCCTGAGGAGTGGAGCTCTCTCGGATGAGAAGGTTGGCCTGGTTGGATTCCCAAGGCCTCTTCTGTCCTTGGATTCCTTAGGCAAGCCAGCCAAGGCTAGAATATTGCTGGTCATCTGCCCCTTAGCCTTTTCTGAACCTTTTGAAATGCTTACCCCATTAGATATTAAAATAACCCACAGCCATAGTTAAAATAAGCAAAACACTTACCAAGGGTCTGCACAGCAGCAGACACCTCGTTAGCTTTAAGAGATTAGAGACAATGAGCCAAGAGTTGGCTCCCTCCAAAAGCAGGCTGGGGGAAATGAGCATGGGAGGGGTCACAAGGCTGAGCAAAGCCAGGACCATAAGCAAGACACAGAGTTCTAGGGTGCAGTGGTACAGGCACGGATAGGAGGAAGGAGGGAAGAGGAGAGAAGGGGTGTGGCCTCTGAGTCAGGAGCCCAGGGCTCAGTTTCTTATGAAATTCTGGGTCTTGAAGGATGGTGCACTGTGTTCAGGCGGCTCCATCCTGGACTCCACCCGATGCTGTGTCTCCTCCTACAGCCGGAAAACCTGTTGTACCTCACCCCTGAGGAGAACTCCAAGATCATGATCACTGACTTTGGTCTGTCTAAGATGGAGCAGAACGGAGTCATGTCCACAGCCTGTGGGACCCCGGGCTACGTGGGTGAGTCTGGGAGCCCGGAGGCATTCAACACCACTTACAGAGAGATGATTGTCTGGTAGAGCCTCCCGCCAGTCCATCCACCTCTGGAGCTTCCTCTTCCTCTCCAACCCTGCTCTTCACAGAGCCTGCCCTAAGCCCTTCCCACAGCGTCTAGACTACCCTACCACCCTTGAAGAAGCCTTTCATGTAGACCAGGGCCAGATCACAACCCTGGGATGGGTGGGGAGCTGAGCGGTGATGTGCTCACCCCTCTTCTCCTCCAGTGCTAGACTCCCCACCTCCCTCCATGAAACTGCTAGGGGTCTGGATGCACGCAATGCTGAGTTTGGGCCCGAGGACCCAGATATGTATCCCTCATGTAGATCTTAGAAGCATGTGGAGGGACAGAGGTAGGACATTGTGGTCGATCAGCTGCCAGGACTCCCCAGGAGAGAGGAAACTGTCAGGGTGCCTGTGAGACAGGGCCCGGTAGGGGGAAGGGGATTCATGATGCCCCTCCTACCCACTCCTCTTAGTCAGTCATCACCTGATGGGAAGTGGGAGGCAGAGCCAGACTCCTAGAAAGAATCCACTGTCCCCAAAGGGAATCACTCCTTACCTGAAGACACTGAGTTCCACAGGTACCAAGCCCAGTACCTGGATAAACCCAGGAGGCAGCTCTCTGCTGCCTGGAGTTCCCAGTCAGAGGGAGGCCTGGCTCATGCCTTCACTGAACCCTCAGTCTGGGGACACATCAAGCCCTGATCGGGTACCCAGAGTCAAATGGACAAGTTCCTGTCATCCTCTGGAGGCTCCTGAGCTGGCGAGGGTGAGGAGCCTCTGCCTTCCCGGGTTCCCACTGGTTGTGGTGGGGAGAGTCCATACCACCCAGAAGACCTCTGCTCTGAAGGGAAAGACTGAGCCCTTGCCCAGGGATCCCCCATGTCAGCAGAGACAGATGCTACCCTCAGAGAATACTTGATCCGACAAGAGAGGCAACACTGGAGAGTGCCAGTCTGATGGAGGAGTCATAAACAGGGTCACAGAAACTCCCAGACTGATGGAGGAGTCTCTCCTCACCGGAGGGATTAGTCTGATTGCAGAGACACCGTCTCTGCCCTTACGGAGTTTTCAATTGCATCAACCACCACTCCATACCTTCTATCCCATCCCCACGCCAGCTGCCCTGGTCCTCTGCTCCTTCTCCTGCCCTGTAGCCCCACCCCAAGGCTCCTCTCTTGCACCTAGCCCTGACTACCATTAATTCCTGCAGCTCCAGAAGTGCTGGCCCAGAAGCCTTACAGCAAGGCTGTGGACTGCTGGTCCATCGGCGTCATCACATACATACTGTGAGTAAAGCCCATGTTGGTTCAGTCCCCGAGAAATCCCAGAGCCTGCTCACTCCTCTGAAGCATGTGTGCATGCACACAGACACAGACACAGACATGCTAACAACAGAGATACACAGTCACACATGCAGACACACATAGAGACAAATACAGATACACAGACACATAGAGACACACATAGAGATACATAGATACACACACATAAACACACAAGCTCACTGAGATACACACACACACACACACACACACACACATACACACACACGCACACACAAGCTCACTTTGGCACCCAATCCACTGAACTCCACCAAGCTCTGAGGAGAGCCAAGCGCTCGGCCACTCTCCATCCCCCTGGACCACCCTCCTCCCAGGTGCTGTGCCCCTTCTCACTGTGTGTAAATGTGTTGAGTTCCAGTCACTCTGTAGAACTGGCAGGGAAATGGAGATCAAACCAGGCTTGGAACCCAGGTGGGCTGACGCTCCTGCATCAGATGCTCCTCACCCAGAGCAGCCCATGGCCTGAGGAAGCTGGTCGGGGCCCATCCTCCCCTCTATACATGCTGGAGTCAGTTGTTCCTGTTCCTAAACTGCATGTGGGCTTTCCCCTACCAACCCTCCCACCCTGCAGCCCGCTTTGTTCTTAAGGAAATGGAGCTCTTAGTGTGGATGCCGTTGATGTTGAATAATGCTCTCACTAATGCACTTATTCAGCAAATCTTGGCTCCTGAGTCAGCTGGGAGAGCGCCTACTTCATGTGCAGGAAGCCCTGAGTGAGATTCCAAATCAGCATAAACTCAGCTGCACGGTTGGAGGGACGGCTCAATGGTTAAGAGTGCGTGCTGCTCTTGCAAGGGATCCAAGTTCAGTTCCAGGCACCCATATCAGGTGTTTCCAGCTGTCTGTAACTCTAGCTCCAGGGAATCTGTTGCCCTCTCCTGGCTTCCATGGACACCAGCACAAATCTGGCATACTCACACACACACACACACACACACACACACACACACACACACACACATATAAATAAAAAAATTTTAACCTTAAAAAAAATACTAGGTGTGGTGGCACACAGCTGTAGTATCAGAACTCAGGAGGCAGAGGCAGGGGGGTCAGAAGTTCAATGTCATCCTCAGCTGTATGGCAAGTTTGAGGTCGGCTTGAGCTACATAAAGCAGTGAGACAATAATAAATAAATAAATAAAAATAATGAGTAAATAAATATTAATAAATAATAAG